TGCTCATGACTGATTTTTGTATCCCCAACATCCAATTTGAAGGCCCAACAAATACTCAGTGAGTGAAAGGACTTAACAGTGGAATTGAGAAAGAAAGAAGGCAACAGTCTCTGCTGGCCCATTCTGAGAGAACTATATTCTTAAAATAGCCACTGAAATAAATTTATAGGAAGTCCATGGTTTTCCAGGTAGCACTCAAGACAGATATGCTTAGTTGTTGAGGTATTTTTTTATGCCAGAAAAGAATTTGATAGTATGGTTGTATGAATAGTTTCAGAAGCATAATTTTTTTTTTAAAAGATTTTATTTATTTATTTGACAGAGCGAGCACAAGCAGGGGGAGCGGCAGGTAGAGGGAGAGGGAGAAGCAAGCTCCCCTTGGAGCGGGGAGCCCGATGCAGGGCTCAATCCCGGGACCCTGGGATCATGACCTGAGTTGAAGGCAGACACTTAATCGGCTGAGCCACCCAGCTGCCTCATCAGAAGCATAATACAAGCTACAAGTGTTTATAGTACTTTACACATTGTAGGAACTGAATATCTGCTGGCTAATTGTTGGTTTGATTTTTTTTTGTAGCTATGACCGCTCATGGCGCTTATGGGATTTGGAGGCTCAAGAGGAGATCCTGCATCAGGAAGGCCACAGCATGGGTGTGTATGACATTGCCTTCCATCAAGATGGCTCTTTGGCTGGCACTGGGTAAGCCTTCTTCCACCTAGCCAGGGGCAGCTCAGTAGTTCACCTGTTATGTATCCCTGCTTCCAGGAGAAATGGATTCAGAATGTTCATTTATAAATTACTTTGTCAGGGGACTGGATGCATTTGGTCGTGTTTGGGACCTGCGCACAGGACGGTGTATCATGTTCTTAGAAGGCCACCTGAAGGAAATCTATGGAATAAATTTCTCCCCCAATGGGTAAAATGAACTCATTGATTAAGGGGTGGGAAGGGTTATTGGTCAGAGATAAAAAGAATATATCTTTGTTTCTAATTTGGACACTATATCTGATCCACAGGTACCACATTGCAACTGGCAGTGGTGACAACACGTGCAAAGTGTGGGACCTTCGACAACGGCGTTGTGTCTATACCATCCCTGCCCATCAGAACTTAGTGACTGGTGTCAAGTTTGAGCGTAAGCTTTCCTCCTGTTTTGCCTAATCACAGGACAGATAGATTGAACTACCATGGAATGCAGGCCAGGCTTTAGGTTAACTTACAAGTGGAACAAGAGAGAATTTGGTCTCTGTTGAAAAAGGAGCACATTATAAGTTCTTTCCCTCTACCATATTTTCACATAGAGCTATGGCACAGCATGCTTCTTGTTTTAGGAAGTAAAGAAGACTTCCATAAGTGCTTTTTTCTCCTGAAAGTTGTAAGCACTGAATCCTTAATGTTATTCTAAAAAGACTGTCAGGGAAAGAGCCAGAAGACCTTGATAATGTTATTCGTTTCCCTAAGCCTGTAGTCCCTTTTTCCTGGAGGTCTCGTAGGAATGTAGATGAGAATATTGGGCTTTTCCAAATGGAGAAATATCTTCTTTTTTGAAATCATATATTCTAGCAGATTTTTGTGCTTTCATTCCCTTTCCTCTTTTGATACTTGAATTCCTCAAGCAGCTCCCCTTCTTTTCTCTTAAAGCTATCCATGGGAATTTCTTGCTCACTGGTGCTTATGATAACACCGCCAAGATCTGGACCCACCCAGGCTGGTCGCCACTGAAGACTCTGGCTGGCCATGAAGGCAAAGTGATGGGCCTAGACATTTCTTCCGATGGGCAGCTCATAGCCACTTGCTCATATGACAGGACCTTCAAGCTCTGGATGGCTGAATAGGCAGGGCCATGGAAAAAGGACTCTAACCTCAAGCTCTTCCGTAAGAGCCATTTTCAAAAGAAAGGAATTGATATGTTTCGTTCTGTCATGTTTTTTGCCAATTACCATGTATAGACCCTCAAAAGAATTGGATTTCCATGTCAGCTTCCACTCCAGGTAGGCAGCCCAGTCTCTGGGTGTTGATGAACCCCTTTTGTAGTTGAAATTTTTATTTTCATCTTCAAGCCCTGCCACGGACTGTGTAGACATTGTTTTTATTAATCTTCTGTTTGAATGCCCTGTTGCCTCCTTCACAGCACTCAGGATTGTGACTGGCTCCATTTTTACTTTTGAAACTTGGCTTTCCATTATGTGGTACGTGCTTCAGGACTGCATGTGACCCACAGAGCACGCAGCTGCACTATAGTCTGGAAGCCCTCGAGTAAAGAGGCACTTCTCACCACACACCTGGTTAACCAGTGCCTTGACAGAGTGCGAACCTTTCCTCTGCCTTTAGAACAGGAGATGAAGAGGTAGACTACAGCTATGCTCAGGGTTATGCAGTAAAGAAGATTTTACCTCTTCCTGTTGAGTTTGCTTGGAATGCTAACTGCATCAGGAAGCTCAGAACTGAACGTTTGCCCTGTCTGAAAATGTCTTCCATTTTGCTTTGAAGTTTGGCATCCTTTGTGTTACCCCAAAGCTAGGCCATTGTGTCAAGAGGCAATGAAATTTCTAGAAAGCAAACATGAAGTCTCTGTTGTGCCACCTCCTTTGTATTGGTTATTAAGAGGATGTACCTTTCATGGCAAGGTAACCGGGAAAAATCCCTCATGGGTATTCGTCAACGTCAACTTTCTTTTTTTCTTTATTACGCACTTGCTACAGAGTAAAATCCTATTATAAAAAAAATGTCCTTTAAAGACTTACTTTGTATAGTTAGGCATTTTTGAATCCCAGCCATTGGTCCATAGAGGTTCCCGCCCCCTTTTTTTTTGTTTGAGATATAACGGTTGATACCAGATATGGCTTATTCCAGTTTTTCTTTTCTTAATAAGCACTCCGCTAATAGGTTTTTGGTGTTTTTTTTTTTTTGTAGAGACTACTGCCTTGTGGGCCAGACTATTAGCAAACTGGGTCAGGACTCTGTAATTCATACTCATTGGCTGTGCAGCAGTCACCTTCATCTCTTTCCACCCAAAATACACAACCACTGAACATGAAGTACACAGTAAATTCTGACAAAAATACAGGAATTTGGAAGAAGAAAGGATTGCATATAGAGAAGTGGAGAAGGGCTTATATGATGGCTTTTCCTTGAATGTTCAAAACACTTCATTTGCTGATCCAGAGAGGCTGACAGTGGCTTTGTCTAATAACTCTATCCTGCAAACTATGAATGTGTGATAATATAGCTAAACTCTTGTCTAATTTTAATTATAACCAAATAGTTGCATATTTTGAGTCCCGGTTAAGCTTCTGAATTATCGGCTCTGCCCCCTGTTGGGCATTTGGCACTTCGTTATTGTTTAAGTATTAATGGGTTTTATTTCGTCCATAGTTGGCCGTGAAAAATAATTTTTCATTACTAACTTTTGTAGTATGTGTAAAGTAATAGTTAACATTAGTGTATTAGCATGCAATCTGCATATAGTGTATTAACAAAGGTTTTAAGTTTTTCAAGTTTAAATTTTACTATTAGTTCCGTTAAACTTTTTTTTGTGTGTGTGGTTGTTCCAAGAGATTTAGAGGTAGCAATCAGGTGAACACATTTCATGTAAGCTTTTGGCAAAACAGTTCCCTTGTGAAATATACATTACTTCATTGTAAGGAGGCAGTTAGCTGAGAAGCATAAACCAAATATAGCATTTCATAATAATAGAATCAGAGCCACCACTTAAAAGGACACTTCCTGCCTACAGACTTTGCCAGGCATGTTCAGACACTTCATCTAATCCTCCCAGTCTTCTGAGTTAAGTCGTATTCCCTTTTTACAGACAAACTCGAAGCTCAGAGAAGTTAAGTAACTTGCTCAGGGCTACCCTGTCAGTGAGTGATGGAGCCTGGTCTGTCTGTGTGTCTGTGACCTTAGGAAGAGATTTCATAGGGATTCACTGAGTATGTTGGCAGCATTGGCCAGACAGAATGACCAGTCCAGCCAGTGTGGCCTGTTTCCCATACAAAGCCAGAGCTTTTTAGCCCCTCTGCCTGTGACCCCTCCCTTGTGATGAGTCTGCATCTCAGTCTGACTTCATGCCAGAGGGGGTCCCGGGACTTCACCACCTCTACCCCATGAACTAGTAAGGCGCCTGTACGGTCACTCAGCAGGAAACTTCGCGTCTTGGGATGGATGTTTTGTTGTGTGGAACTGTCCTAAGCATTGCAGCATGTCTCACCATCCCTGACCTGTAGAGTACTAAAAGCCAGAAGCACAACCCACCCCTTACACTGGAATACCAAAGATGCTTCCAGACATTTCTGCATGCCCCAAGGTTAGAACTACTGAAGGTGAAAATAGAAGACACCCTACTGTTGAGCATATCCTGCCCTACCCCCCAAAAAACTCAAACCTATATCTTTCCTTATTTGGATGGTATACTAGCCACTCCAAGAGCCACTCCCCAATTCTACTTGGACTAAAAGGCCCCCACCGCTTACTGGCTGGTGAGCTGGAACGACACAGCAAAACCTGTGGAGCCTCAGGTTCACCTGCAGAATACGGATGAAATTTCCTTAACTCAGAACCGTATGCTCTAGTGCAGCGGCAGGTGTTTCTTCCTGAGCTTCCCCTGGCTCCTCTCCCTCTCCTCATGGCCCATAGAACATGGGGAGATCATTGCCTAATTTACTTGCCATGATGTTAAGGAGCAAGGATGTGTAAAGAAATGAAGTCAACAGGGAGAGTTTGAGTCCCAGCTTTAGTGTAATTATCTTCGATGGCGCGAATGGAGAGGTAGGTGTCAGTCCCCTGGCGGGATACATAGGGTGGCATTCCAGTTTTGTAATGGAGAATTTTCTTCACGTTGGTGCTTAACACCATTTGGTCTTAAGAAACATGAAATATAGGTCTTGGCTATTTTGGAATATTTTGTACATTAAGATCCCTTAAGAATTTATAGAAGCTAGTTCCGTTAAGCACAAAATTTTTAGAACAAATAAAACCAACTCCCGTTTCTGACCTCTGAAAGTTTATTCCACAAATCAAGATCCTTTCATCATTCTGATGGTGTTTTAACCACCGTGGGCCACAGGGCAGTATTAAAACTGGGGAAGCAGAAGGGGTTTTAGACAGTGCAGAGGTAGCAACTTGTAGCCAAACAGCTGAAGCATCTAGTTTGCCTTGGTTCTAAGATTCTGTCTTGTAAAATGAAGACCAGGATCCCCTGTCTGCATGGCCTGGGATGGAAGCTAAGGCTTTTCCTCTGTCCAGGGCTTCTGCTTTATCTCTCAAGGTCAGACAGAATTCCATTGCCTGGAGGAGGGGAGTTGACTCTACCCAACATCCAGGCTTACTTGAGGCCTCTGCACCTACCTACACCTTTTCTCCAAATCTCAGATTTCTTTTGATTGACTGACCCTGGTTTCTTTTCACCTTTAAACTTTTATATTCTCAACACTCCATAAACCACATACTGACAAGCGGTTGTCTTGTACAAGAAGCAGCCCTCCTTGCTGGTAAAGGCTCTCTGTCACCCATGGATAATCCCACCCTTCTCTTCCCCTAGTTCTGACATAATGTGGGCCAAGTAAGTGGTGGTAGAATGAGTAAATGCATGAATTCATGAATGCACACCATTTTTTCCTGGGACTGGTGGCAAGACTTCCAAAGAGAAAACAAAGAAGGTATGCACATTTGCTCACAGAATTGAAGCTCACTTCGCAAAATTTTAGCAACACCTATTAAAAAGAGCAGGTCAAATGTGAACTGAGTTCGAAGCAACTCCATTGAGAAACGCAACTTTCTCTCTGGGCTAGTCGGGCTCCTGGATACCGTGGTTCAGCCCTTTGGCACAATTTGTTCCGTAGCCCTATAATCAAAGATCTGCTTCTCTGCCCTTCTTGGCCCCGTGGCTCACACCTAGAGGTCTCTTCACATCTTTTCCCAGCCTTTTAGCTTTCAGAGGTTCTCATCATAGTAGGGATCTGTTTGCAGAAGCAAACATGTGGACTAACTGATAGACTGTAAAAATGAACAATACTACAAAGGAAGACAACCCCAAATGAGGCTGTGTAGTCCCCATCCCCAGCAGCAGTCAAGAAAGGCTTAGATCCAGGGCTCTTGGGTGGCTCAGTCAGTTAAGTGTGTGACTCGATTGCTCGGGTCTTGATCACGGGGTTGTGAGTTCAGGTCCCATGTTGGGCTCCACGCTGGGCATGGAGCCTACTTCAAATAATAAGAATTAAAAAAAAAAAAAAAATTTTTTTTAAAGGCTTGGTTCCTTGTCCAGAAACAGTGCTCACCCCACACCCCAAAGGAATTGCTTGGTCCAAAAGATGGAGAAGATGAGCAACAGAGTGACACTGAGGATAACAGCCATCAGGTAAGAAAAGATCCGGAACTGAGGGTTGCGGAAACACTCCCTCAGAGAGTAGTGGCTGGGGATGGGAATGGGCAGAGACCTGGTGGTGGGGCCCATGTCCTGGGGGGGGCCCGTTTGGCTCCCGGGCTCAGGGCCTAGGTGCAGCGTATAGACCCGGGGCTGGCGCAGGAAGTAGCGGCTCTTGGGCTGGTCCTTGAGATAGAGCTGGTGGCCTTCCAGGATGACGTGGTGGGGCTCCAGGCGAAGCAGGGTGAGCACGGCGGTATCTGTGGGCAAGTCGGTGACCGGCTGCCCAGAGGCCAGCACAGTGGGCTGGCGACAGAGTGGGCACAGCAACTGGCGCCGGGCTGGAGTTACCAGGCTGAGGTGGGCCAGGCACTCCACACAGAAGGAGTGACAACAGTCCAGCACTTTGGGAGTGTGAAATGTGTTGTTGAAGGGGTTCCAGCAGACAGGGCACTCAGGCTCCCGGCCCTGCCGCTCCGCCATCCTCAGATGAGACACCGGGAGGCCTGGCAGGAATGTCCTGGCAGAAGGGGAAAAGGAGCAAAGGGATAACCCGTTGAGCTCCATCCTTGTGCTTGGTCCTAGACTAAGGGTTCTGTGCCTTGTCAAAACATACTGTCACCCATATTTCACAGATGAAAAACTTAGATTCAAAAGATGAAGCAACTTGTTCCAGATCACCAAGTTCCTAAGCTGTAGAGTTAAGTCTGGTGCTCCTGCAGCATCCCCCCTATCAGGGCAAAGGCCTGAGTCACCCCACCATTAATGAACTGGCACTGGAGGGGACTGTACCCCCACTTGGGAAGTGGGAAAAAAATGCTCCTGCTCCATGTGACTGCCCTTGACTTCTCAGACTCCAAGGAGAGGGAGGGGAGCCCGTCAGTGGTCTGTGCTGTAAGGCAAATACCTCCTTCTCTGCTGCCTCAAGTCCCTGACTAATGCAGAGATGGCCTTTGTGAATTCCGTGGTCTGTCCCTCCTCTGGGACAAATGCCAGGCCCTCTTTCCCTCCTCCCATTGGGCTACAGGGCCAACCCTCCAGAGCTCATTTGCCCAGTCTTTGTGCAGGGCACTTCACTGGCTTGGCAAGGCTTTTCTCCTTGACCTGGAAGCTTAGAGAGGCTCTCCTGCCCAGGTCCCCAGGTCAGCCCTTCCAGAACCTCCCAATATTTGGCCTCCCCTGGCTCCTCCTCCCTCCCTTTGTCCCCGGAAACCCCAGGGCACTCACCTGGGCTTCCTTGGTACTAGGGTGGTCAGGCAGACTACCTGAAGGACCCGAGGCTCCAGTCTCTCCCTCTCCTGAATCCACACAGCTTCTCTCCACCAGCCACCAGCCCCGGGGCCTGTCTCCATGGCAGCACACACAGAGCACCTGGAGCTGCCAGGTGGCCTGGTCTGCAGCCTCTTGAGCACATCTGCCTGCTGCACAGGCCACAGAGCTGCCTGGGTGGCAGGGGGTGGGGAGGTGGGGGACCAGAGTTCCCCCAGGGTGTGGCAAACAACCAACCATGGAAGCCAAACATCTGCAAGATTGTGGGCGGTCTCTTCAAGACCTGGGATCCATGGCCTAGGAAGGTAGGGGTGGCAATTTCCTTTTTCTAGATTGTGGAGGGGGTAAGTGAGCCTCTGGGCATCTCTCCTGCGCCCTCATTTCTAAGATGGCTAAAACCTCCTCCTAACACAAAGGGGCGGTCCACCCTGCACTTCAATTGCTGTGAAGTTTTTCTGCTACACAGCCTAAAATCTCTGCACCGCAGACTCAGCAAATTTGTTTATTTTTAAGTGACATCTACACCCAGCGTGGGGCTCGAACTCACTACCATGAGATCAAGAGTCACATGGTCCTCTGAGCCAGCCAGGCACCCTCCCTTTCTAATCCTTTAATGTGCCCAAGTAGCTGTAACCACGCAAGTCTTGCTGCCATCTTTGTTCTTAGAACACGGACAATCAACCTGGCAGGCAGTGACCCCTGAGGTCTTAGATGGCCAAAGGTTGGCCATCTCCCCACCCTTGGGGACTTAAAAGAGGGAGTCAGGAAGGAGAGTTCCAGCCCTACTTCCCCTTGTCAACCAGAAACACCTAGCTTTTCTCCTATCCATCACTTGAATTAAGTTGAAGAGTTGAGCTGCTGAGGGGGGAACAACATGTACCAAAGCCCCAAGGTGAAAAAAGGCTCTGCCAGATTCTGGAAGTGAAAGAAGCCTGAGGTGCAGTGGGTGGGGCTGGAGCAGGAAAGTGGCTCAGGAGTGAGCCAGCGAGAGTGGAGGCAGGCCCTAGAAGCTGGGGAGCAAATCGGGATTGAATTCTAGGGATGGGGGTGGGGCTCATCACCTTTTTTTTTTTTTTTTAAACATTCCATTTTAAAAGCACCATTTCAGGGGTGCTTGGCTGGCTCAGTCAATAGAGCTAGAGCGGCTCTTGATCTCCGGGTTGTGGGTTCGGGCCCCATGTTGAGTATAGAGATTGCTTAAAAAATAAAATCTTTAGGGTGCCTGGGTGGCTCAGTTAGTTAAGCCTGGAGTCCCAGGATCGAGTCCCGCATCAGGCTTCCTGTTCAGTGGGGAGTCTCCTTCTCCCTGTGACCCCACCCCCTCTCATGCACTCTCTCACTCTCTCAAATAAATAAAATCTTTAATAACAACAACAACACCATTCCAGAGCAGAGAACGACTAAAAAGGACAGAGTGGAAGTAAAAGACCATGAGGGACTTTATTATTCAGGCTGGGATGGTGGTGCTTGACTTAGACAAGGCCATGGCAGAGAAGATCAAAGGGATGGAATAAAAACCATCTCTGGAGATTAAATCAAAAGCACTTCCCAAAAAGCAGTGCACAGCATAGGTTCTGGAACCATGTTGTTGAGGCTCATGACCCCAAATGCACTGCTTATCAGGGCTGTGATCCCAGTTGAATTGCTTAGCCTGTGCCTCAGCGTCTTCTGAAGAGGAAAGTAGTATGTCTGAAGGTAAAGCTCTTAGAGCCTGGCGCCCAGCAAAGACTACCTATGAGATGGGCCATTATCCCTGCAAATGGATTTGAGAGACAGGAAAGATCAAGGTTGACCTTGAAGCCATGAGAAAGTTTTCTGCGTTGAGCTTTAAGGAGCTCTGAATTCCAGAGTGTGTCCAAAGCAGACCTTGAGTACTTACCAAAAGCCTTGAAAGGTAATAGCCTTGATCCAGCAGTTCCCCCGCTGGGAATCTGTCCCATGGAAATAATCAAGGACCTGTGCAAAGGCTTGATTGTAGGGATGCCTGTAGAAGCGCGGCTCTACCAGTGAAGTATGGAAAACTACATACTCCGTCAACAGTGGGACGTTAATTAAAGACATTCTACTCCAACCACATGAAGAGACATTCTGCAGCCTTTAAAATGATGTGATAAGAGGCACCTGGGTGACACGGTTGAATGTCCAGCTCTTGGTTTTGGCTCAGTTCATGGTCATGAGATTGAGCCCTGCGTCAGGCTCCTCGCTCAGCAGGGAATCTGCTTGAGATTCTCTCTCCTTCTTCCTCTGCCCCTCCCCCTCCCTCTCTCTCAAATAAATAAATAAATCTTTTTCTAAAATGATGTCCTAAAACATCTATTAATATGGAGATATGTTTGTGATATGCAATTAAGCAAAAAGAACCAGTAATAAAACCATATCATGATATTATTCAATTATCCTGCATATGTGTGCCATGGAAAAAATGTCTGGAAAAGCAAACACCAAAATGTCAACAGTGGTTATCTCTGGGAGTAAGATTATAGGTGGATTTTGTTTGTTTGTTTGTTTTAAATTCTCTTGTCTGAAAATCCTCTAACTTTACTGTAGTCCAATAAACTTGTATTACTGCCCTTAAAGACCTCCCTCTCCCCGCCAAAAGCAGACCTCACGTTTTCTGAAGTTCCATGGCCGAAGCTGTGAAGGGCCCCGTTCAGGAGGAGGAATAATCATTCTTGCCTCAGCACCTGGGCCCTTATCTGCCGGGATCCCCATAGACATCGACTGCTGTTTCCGGTGCAGCAGGGCAGAGTCCATTCTCTCCAGGAGAGACTCTGACCACGTACCCTCCCTCCACCACTCACCCCCCACACTGTCGCAGCTGCAGTAAGTCCTAGACACCACCCCAAAGGTATCACCTTTGTCTGTGACCAAGTCAGCCAAATATTGTCTATAGCATCACCCGAAAGTTTTTACCCTCGAGAGAGATGAGGAACTAGCATTTTTTAAAAAAGATGTATTTATTTGAGAGGGAGAGTGAGCAGGGGGGAGGGGCAGAGGGAGAGGCAGAGAGAGTCCCAAGCAGACTCCACACTGAGTACGGAGCCCGACACGGGGCTCGATCCCATGACCCTGAGATCATGACCTGAGCTGAAACCAAGATCCAGTGGCTCAACTGACTGAGCCCCCCCAGGCGCCCCAAGAGCTAGCATTTTTATAGGACTTCACAGTTTACCAAAGGGCCCCCCCTCCTGGCTAGGATCTAAAGTGAGGCAACTCACATCTACATTTGATGATTGCCTTTTACAATTTTTTCCCATCTGCATGAGGCCATTTGTTTTTTGTTTTTTGTGTCCAGTTATTTACTGTGGTTGTTGTTGTTGTTTTTAAGTAATCTGCACACCCAGTGTGGGGCTTGAACTCACAACCCTGAGATCAAGAGTCACATGCTCTACCAACTGAGCCAGTCAGGTGCCCCAAGGCCATTTGATTCCTTAAAACCACCCCGTGAAGGAAGCAGGATAGGGAGTTGAAAGTATGCAGGCTTTGGAACCAGACTTATTTGCTGTGTGGTCTTAGATAAATGGCTTATCAATTTTCTTTGTAAAATAGGCTAATAATCCCCCACCTTAGAGTCTTGCTGTGAGGAAGGGATAGTATCTGTACCATGCCCTGCAGAGCACAGCAGGTGCTTAGTACACGGTTGGCATGATAGTTTTATACCCATTTTATAGATGGGGACGCCGAGGCTCAGCATGTGAAGTGGCTTGCTTAAGGCTTCACAGCTAACGAACTGCTAAGCTTGAAAACTGGTCCCAGGAGCCCTGCCTCCCAGGCCAGTGTTCATGCTGGCTGACAGCAGTGCCCCTCAGGACTCTGGGGTTCTGTGTCCCATCCATCCCCCCATGACCCTCTGTGGCTCCTTACCTGCTTCCTCAGAGTCTCCTCCTCCAGTCCGCAGGGTGGCCATGCGGCATGTACTCTGTGCTCTAACTCCTTTGGCCTGGTTTCCAGGCAGTTGTGGGTGGGTCTTATTTGCATGGGTCTTATTTGCATGGGTCTTCTGGCCGCTCCTCGCCACAGCTCTATTGCAGGTTTTTCTCTTCCTTCTGATGACTTTGGGCAGTCTATGCTCATGGGGGACAGGCCAGGAGCTCTGGTTTCCTTTTCCTCCTGTGAGTCACTCTTGCTTGTTCTCGAAGGGGGTCAAAGTCTCTCATCCTTGCAGACCTCGGTTTGGTATTCAGTTGGTTTCCTGCTATGTCTGACTGCACCACTTTGACTCACGCCCAGCCTTACTTTGATGGAAGGCCGGGCATCTCTGAAGCCACTTCTGGCCCTCAACCTAGTTAGCTCCTTCCCTACTCTGAGCCCCCACAACCAAAATACAAAGGGCTCTTGCAAAATATTAAGAAAAAGGCAAATTGTCCAACAGAAAAACAATCAGGGGAGAGTTATTTAAGCATAAGTGTGAAGAGCCTGGGTCAATCAAGTCAGACTTTGGGGTCAGAGTCAAGTCCTTGCTCAGAATCCAGACTCTACTCATTGACTAGTGATGGAGATGAGCAAATTGACTTCTCTAAGCCTCGGTTTCCTCCCCTGAAAATTGGCATCATAATTTTATCTACTTGATCTGATTAAATGAAATAGCACTTGTAGAGATCACAGCACGGTGCCTGGTACACGGTAGCACGCAGTAAATGTTAACTACGACTATTACGATGATATGATCAAGCAAATCACCAAAAAGAAAAGAAGTACAAACAGAACATATACGTAATTGCTCAACTTCATTTATGATTAGAGAAACTCAAATTTGAATAAGACACTGATTCTTT